GGATTCATGACCCGGGGGAGGTTTCTGTCTGGTTCCGTAAGTGTTCAAGCGTTCAGAATCAGCGCTTTACTGAGACATTAGTGAAAATGCCCGGCGCGGATAAAGAGACCGATCTGTCCGAGCGAATCGAGTCGTTTCTGTCCGAGCTGAAGCGCTGCGGCAGCGGGGCAGGATCCCTCCGGGGCTCCGCGGAAACTGCCCGAGAAACGACCGCTTTACTCCGCAGAATCACCGCGCAGGCCCGCTGGAGCAACGCCGGTGAGTGAGAGCTCGAGATCGGATCAGAACCCGAGCGCTGTCCGCTGTTCTAAATCAGAACCTGAGCCTTGTTTTGCTTGACACACGACTTCAGTTACATCATTCCCTGTGCCTGATTGTGTAGTGCTACATGTGCCTGTGGTTTACAGCAGAGCTTTTCAGTCTTTCATATTTTATATTCCAAACATGATCATCCTCATGTGAGGGACCCCATGCTAAAATGTAAATGGCGGTTATATATTTGCTTGTAAAAAGATCCAGCTTATACGTGAAAAATAAATGTTATAAATATGTCCAAAATATTATTCTATTATTTTGCTATTAAGTAACATTGTTTTTTCTACTTACTATAGTACTGTACTGTTATATTTTATTGTTTATTTGTTCATTTTACTACATCTTTATTTTAAATATTTATTGTAATATATTTATTGTAATCAGTCATTTAATTTTTTTTTATTTATTTCAATATATTTTTTATAATTATAATTTAGATTTGTGTAATTTTTATTTTAATATAATTTTATATTAATTAAATGTATTAATTAAATTGAATATCATTTTTGTTTTCTAAATTGTTTTAAAATCATTTTATTATTAAATGTAATATACTTTTCATATTTTTAATACCATATTATTGTATTATTTTAATACAATTTTTATTTATATTTTTTGTTTATTTGTTTTTATTATTATTTTAATTATAATTTTAATCTATTTTCATTATTTATTAATGTATTTTAATCTATTTTCTTTGTGTATTTTATATATATATATATATATATAATCTTATATAGAATCTTATTTCTATTATTTATTTATCTTTACTTTTTTCTCTAAATTTTCTCACGGACCCTTTAGCACTTGCTTGCGGCCCCAGTTTGACACCCTCTGGTTTACAGGATCTTGAAGTTTCTGGTGTGTGTGTGTGTTTTTTCAGGTGATCTGATGGAAATCATACGGAAGGAAGGCAGGCGGATGACAGCAGCACAGCCGTCTGAGACCACCGTCGGTAACATGGTGCGCAGGGTGCTGAAGATCATTCGAGAAGAATATGCGAGGTGAGACACTCATCCAGGATCCGAATTCGCCCTTATAATTTCATTCCCTCTTCTCTTCCCCTAATACATTAAACACAAATGAGTGAATGAAAACTGTATTATCCAAGAAGTTGAAATTTTATATGCATTATTTTTGTCACACAGGCTAACATGTTCTTTAAATATCACTCAGACAAACGAAGAAACATGGCAGCCAATCAAATTTGAGCATTTTCAGTGTGAATGACAGATGAGGTCTATAAAAGCAATGTTGTCCACTAGAGAGGGCCACTGGATAAGCTTTTCATTCAAATCAATTTGAATGCCTGAATATTTCCTGATTTCCTTTTTGAAGTCAGTGGACTCTTTTGGAACTATCACAGTATTTTTCTAAGCGGTTTCATCAAACCCTAAACCACATTATCGGTGGAAACTCCAGACCGTTGCCTTTGTAGTAAAAACATACTATTTAGAACGATACATGGCGGGTGTATCACCTATTTGGTTATTTGAGCTATTGGTGCTTGTACCCCGATTCTGGCCGATTAATTTTTTTATACTAGTTGTCGGGTCTGATTTCGGGGGAAACTACATATTTGCATAATTTGTCCCTGCATATTTAATATTAAAATAGGGTGCCTGCTTGAAGTCACAACAGTTGAACCTTGAACCGAAAAGAGCTCGCAAGCAAAAAGAGAAAGCAACATTAACCATAATAAAACACGAATCAACAGTTTGTATAGCATCACATCTGCTGTGCCTTAGGCTTACAAAACAATGTTTATGTTGGTTTACCATGACTATCTCTAAATTATTTACTACTTTTGTCTATTTTTCCAAGAAATAGTCTTTCCAAGTTATAATTTCCATTGTTATCTGATATGAATAGCAATGGGTTTATTTAACGTCTGAGTAGCCAAACTTCTGTAACGTTAAATTAAAAAGTCAAAACAACAGCAGCATGTAAGCTACTTACCTGCTTATAAGATCTATGTTTTGGATAGCCATCTTTCTTTCATTATTGGTCGAGTTTTGATGTTGTTAGTGACATTTGCACTGATAAAGCGATCACTTGTAATCGAGCCCAGCGCCATCAGATTCATGCGCGCAGAATATCGGAGCCGAAGCACAACTCGCGTAACGGCCAAAACAATGTTCCTCCGCAAATAACGCGCAGTTTCATGCTTCAACCGCTAGAGGGCCTAAAGTTACGCAGTGTAGCTTTAAGGTTTTAATATCAGCATGCTGGTTTTGGAACATGATAGTGAGTAAATAATGACAGATCTTTCATTTTGAGGTGAACTATCTGAATCATCTGGATATCCTGTGTCTCTCCTCAGGTCCAGAGGCAGCACTGAAGAAGCGGATCAGCAGGAGTCTCTGCACAAGCTGCTGACGTCTGGAGGATCCAGCGAGGACAACTTCAGACAGCACTTCGCTCATCTCAAAGCCAACATCATTGAAGCCATCAACGAACTGCTGACAGAACTGGGTGAGAATCCATAGACGCCAGCTCATCAGAAGCTTTTGCATTTTTAAATATTCTTGTAACTCTAAATATGCCTGTTATTTTTAGAGGGCACCACAGACAACATCTCCATGCAGGCGCTGGAACACATCCACTCCAACGAGGTCATCATGACCATTGGCCGCTCCAGAACAGTGGAAGCTTTCCTGAAAGACGCCGCGCGGAAACGCAAATTTCACGTCATGGTTGCAGAGTGTGCACCCTTCTGTCAAGTGAGCAAATATTTGCATCCATTGCATTTTACTAAAGCGGCTCTCGAAAACATTTCTTTCTCATCACTAGCAAATAGTAGAACAGATAGCCAAGAGTTAATAACACTGTCATGTTTAACCATGTAATAACACAAAAGCATGTTTACCCATTATGTAATATTATTAAACATTAAATAATAATGTATTAATAATAACATTAGATAACATTTTTACATATTATAATTATGAATACATAATGATAAGTTAATAATAATGATAAATTAAAATGCCTATTTAATTATTAATAATTAATATTTAACTGTTAAGATATTTAAAATTATACTGTAATAAAAAATAAAATGTATCAACTTTTTTTATCATTAATGAACACATAGTATTAGTTTTTACCATTTAATTTTTATAAATAATATTTAAATACAAATATTAAATAGTATCATCTAAATAATAATTATTTCTGTTTTATTTATATTATTACTATTTATATAAAAAGTTTTATATGAATGTTTTAAGAGTTGAACTTCATATTGATCTTTAAGCAAGTGTATTTAGTGCTGTTGTAAATTGAGGTCCTTCAAAGTAACTTGACTAAACTATAACTTTTTTGTCCTTCAGGGGCATGAAATGGCTACAAGTCTTTCCAAAGAGGACATCGAGACAACAGTCATCCCAGACGCGGCCATTTTCGCTGTAATGTCAAGAGTCAATAAGGTGAAACAAAGGATTGATGTGTGACGCACCAATGGAAGAATCCAGATAGATTAACTATCCAAAATCACACAACTAGAAATGTTTTATGATTTAAAACATCGTTTTTGTTTCATGTTAGTCATTCAAAGACTCGAGTTTCTTTATGAACTATCTTGAAGGTGAAAAACACCTGACTGAATCACTTGCATGTGTTGTTCAGGTGATCATCGGCACACAGACGGTTCTGGCTAACGGGGGTCTGCGGGCGGTTAACGGCACACACACACTGGCTCTGGCTGCCAAACATCATTCGACTCCCCTCATCGTCTGCGCTCCCATGTTCAAGCTCTCACCGCAGGTATCCGACACCCCCGTACAATCACACTTTACATGATTTAGTCAAATTGACGTCAGTAGATAAGATCTTGTAAATGCTGCTTTTGAGGTTTAACTTGCATCTTTGTTGTAGTTTCCTAATGAGGAGGACACGTTTCATAAATTTGTTTCACCACATGAAGTGCTTCCCTTTACTGAAGGTAATGTCATTCAGCAACATTTTACTCCTTTTATGAAGTCATTTACAACTTTACACTTATACAATTTAAGGTTAAAGTTAAAAAACCCTCAAGAAATAACACACTCAAAACAGAAATTGTCAACAAAAAATGTAGAAAACACAAACAGATTTGGAGAAATGTAGCATTACATCACTTGCTCACCAATGGATCCTCAGCAGTGAATGGGTGCCGTCAGAATGAGAGTCCGAACAGCTGAGAAAAACATCAATCCACACCACTCCAGTCCATCAGTTAATGTCTTGTAAAAAATTCTCATCTTAAAGATGGATTTGTTTCTTACCAACCTCCAAATTTTCACTTCACATGATGTTAATCGATTCGCTCATTCTGACGGCACCCATTCAAATCTGTTCTGATGAAGAAACAGTCATCTACATTGTTTATGGACAGTCAGTGTAAATCTGCTTTACAAGAACTAGTTTTACTTTTCTTTTGTATCAGTAGTCAAGTCGTTCTGTTAAGATGGTGAGCAACATTTGTCATGAAATTTCTGTTTTCTGCTTCCAGGTGAGATCTTGTCTAAGGTCAACGCTCACTGTCCGCTATTCGACTACGTTCCTCCAGAACTCATCACTCTGTTCATCTCTAACATCGGTGGAAACGCTCCGTCGTACATTTACCGTTTGATGAGTGAACTTTACCACCCTGAAGATCATGAACTCTAGACTGGAAAATAAAGAATTGCATTTTTGTCTCACACTTTGGCTTTCAAAACTGCTGGGATTGTGAATCGAGTGAATATTTAAGCTACTGATCCATATTTACAGAGTCAAGACAACATTTGTGTGTGTGTGTGTGTATTGTTGACATTTAATACACCAAATATATTCTGTAAACAGCTTACAGAAGCTTGCAATTTATAAAACTCATAATTTGTTTTAAAAAGAAGTCAAAAAACTTAAGCACAACAAAAATGATTAGAATGACAGAAGAGACAAAACTCCACATGAACCATAGAAACGCCGCAGCTCAGCCGTGATCATTCACTTGAGTGTTTCTCAACTGTGGGAAAAGAAACAGACAATTGCTCTTTACCCAAGTTTGATTCACAGGTACATTTCAAAGGCTTCGCTGCAGTCGTCTGAGAGTTTGTGCTACCTGTTCTGCGTTTTGGTCCATTTCAGAGCACTTCTGGGCGGCACTGCCACAACTGGATGGTAGAAAGTACAGCCCGCTCGCTTGCACTGCGCCGCAAATCTACACGGCTGCATAAAACAAACAAATTAGGCACTTGAAGCATATGAACAAAAATGTATTTAGCAACTTTAAAAAAAAAAAAAAAAAAAGAAGTTAAAGTGCATAAAAATATAGAGATTAGGTTCATAAAACCAACATTTGGAATAACATGCACAATAAGAGCAGTAGCATGAGAGGATTTTATGTTGACATTTCAAAGAAGTTGAAGTTTTTAAACTTAATCATCATCATAATAATAAAAATAAACAAATCCCTCAAAGTCAAACAGGCTGATGTAATACTCACTTTAGGGTGGTAGAACGGACAGTCCAGCTTTTTACACTCTGGGAAGAAATGGCACACGCTGCTGGCTGGAGCTGGTTCTGCAGGGTCACAGGTCAAATGTCAGCAGCCATTTATAACACATTCCAATGTATTTCATCTTCGTCTTACACACCAGCTCTTGTCGGGTTGCTGTTGAGTTTGCGGCTGACGTGTGTGAATGGACAGTCCGCTTTGGTGCACTTGGCATCAAACTTACAGTTTGGATGAATGAACAGACACTTGTTGCCAAATTTACAGTTGGGAAATATTCTGCAACACAACCAAAAACAACAACATATTTACATAATATGCATCACTATGTACGACGTGTCTCAAATTATTAATTTATTATTAATTCCTCTTTTCCAGCACCACCGATAATATCAGGAGGGGAAAAAAAAAAGTTCTAAGTTAACAAAAAGAAAAACAGTAAAATAATAAAACACTAGTCAGTTGTTGACTTGTTATAAGATACAAAAAAGGAAAAATCAAATCAAGTACAAAAATTAAATACGTCATTGTAAGTTACAAAAAGGAAAAGTAAATAATAATTAGAATAGAAAAGAAAAAGTTAGGATAAATAAATAATAAAATGAATATAAATAATATAAGAAATAATAAAAGTAAAAATACTAGTTGGTTGACTAGTCCACCAGGCTGAGAGTTACGTGGGGTTTATAATGTGAGTTTATTCAGTCATGAGGGGTTAATATATGTTCTCACTTGCACTGTGTGTTGGGGTGATGGTACAGACACTCGTCTCCACTCTTGCACGCAGGCCAAAACCTGCAGCGTTCTGGAAGTTTCTGTCGTTTAGCCTGAACCGGCTCTACATCCATGTCCTCCACCTCATTTAACTCTCTATCTGCAGGAGAAAGACAGAGAATGAGGGTGAGCAGAGAAAAAAATTGAGAGGAATGTTGACTACAGCTAGAATAAATGAGGAGTCACATGACTACAATTACAAGACAGGACCGGGTTTAGTACAAAATAAGCTGGCATAACATCCATTCCCATTTTATAGAAAATAACTGTATTGTTATATATACTGTTATCGTGGTACAAGTTACAAGACCTCTAAAACATGAGTATGTTCGTCTTACTGCCAGTGTTTAGAAAGTCAGTGCCGAGTCTGAGGTGGACGGCAGGTTTGGGTCCATTATTTTCTGGAAAGTCAGGGGTCGTATTGAACTCGTCCTCAGGTTCCATCTCCTGATCGGTGCGGCTTGCTAACGGACTGGGAACTCCATCTAATGTCACGATGAACTTTGGACTCGCTGCTTCCACAAGCTCCCCTCTCTCTCTGCAGAGGAACAGAAGGAGATGTGAGCATGACACACTGAAGACTGGAGTAATGATGCTGAAAATTCAGCACTGCATCACAAGAATAAATTACATTTTAAAATATACTCAAATAGAAAACGGTTATTTTAAATGGTAATACTATTTCCCAATATTACTGTTTTTACTGTATTTTTGATCAAATTGATGCAGCCTTGGTGAGCATAAGACTTCTTTCAAACATATTTTAAAAATCTTACCGACCCCAAACTTTTGCATGGTAGTGTATATAGATCTCAACATTGTTTTTGCTTGAAACCTGGCTGTCATACCTGGCCTGCACCATTCGGGACGTGATGGGCGGGTCTTCAGTTTGATTGACAGCACTAAGACTGCTCCTGACTGGTGGAGTCTGTTCAAGCTCCGGTTTCCTCATGATGAATGAACGTGTGTCCAGAGCATTGAGTCTCGCCGCCTCTAAAACCTGCAGCTCTGAATTAAAAAAAAAAACAAACAAAAAAAACCCACAAATATGATTAAGTACACTGCTGTTCAAATGTTTGGGGTCCGTAAGATTGAAGTTTTTATATAAGTCTCTTATGCTCAATAAAAGTTGCATTAATTTGTTTAAAAATACAGTAAAAACTGTAAAATTGTGAAATATTTGTACAATTTAAAATAATTGTTTTCTATTTGAATATATTTTAAAATGTAATTTATTCCTGTGATGTAAAGCTGAATTTTCAGCATCATTACGCCAGTCTTCAGTGTCACATGATCCTTCAGAAATCATTCTAATATGCCGATTTGCTGCTCAAGAAACTTTTCTTATTTTTATCATTTTTGAAAACAGTTGCTCTCATTAATATTTTTGTGAAAACCGTAATACGTTATTTTTTAAGATTCTTTGATGAATTGAAAGTTCAACAGAAAATCACTTATTTGAAATAGAAATCTTTTATAACATTATAAATGTATTTACTGTCACTTCTGATCAATTTAATGTGTCCTTATTGAATAAAATATTCAATTCTTTAAAAAAAATAAAATAAAAAAAAGTAAATTTGTACTGACCCCAATCTTTTTAATGATAGTGTATATTCAAATATATTCTAGATGGTCAGTTGCTTTACATGTTGATCAGATGGTCTCTTCATGTCTATGTTTGTGTGTTTAGTCAAAGGTCTGGCTACATGAGACTACTGAGCTTCACAGAATGTGACTGAACGACTTCCATAGTACAACTAAGATGGACTTTACTGTCAGAGGTCAAAGTTAGGTCATATCCCTCACGGTATTCACTGAGCTGCTCTCGAGTGTCCTCTTCTGGAAGCTCCAACTGCAGACGAGATGCTAAAGCTATGGATTGTGCTGCAAAACACAGAAAAGAAATCAATTTGTAGTTTGATTTCTTGTTCCTTCTGTCAACACAGTATTTCTTTAAGCAACAGACACTCACTATTGTGCAGCGTGTCCTGAGGCGCGAGGGCGTGCAGGTGCTCCTGGACCAATCGGATTGCAGCATTATTCATCTCGTCACTCACTGAACGTGTCCGTGGTGCTACAGGAACCGTCTGCCGCTGGGGAACTGGACAAGAGAATACAGAACCAGGGTTATTATCATTAACTAAAACTGCTACTATTAGAAGTATTTATGTTAATTGAAATAAAGCTGAAATAAAATAAAATAGACATATTTAACTGAAATAAGTTTAGGCTGAAGCACTAAAATTACTAGCAGTAAATATATCAAAACTAATAATAAAACTGAAATAAAATGAAACTACACCTAAACAGTAATATTTAAAAAACGAATAATGACAAAAGCACAAAATTACTAAAAATTTGGGGGGAAAAAATAAAATAAAAATAAAAGCTAAGTCAAAATATTAAGAAAAAGACAACAGTATATAAAAACAATACTAAAATATAATTTTCACAGACAGATTAACTAGCATTTTCATGTCAATAGGTCACGTTACAATTCGATATTTAATAATGACAGAGTCCCACACATGATATGCAGACAACAATATATGTACTGTGGCCACCAATTTGTACCTTCGTTTTAGTTAAATCATGGATATGAATTAAGAATTCATTTCCACAACTTAATACATTCCCTCAATACTTATCTGTATTCTTCATGTTTTAATTGAGGGTGTTTAAATTTTTACATTTGTCTCCAAGGTTTTGATCCAGTGTTAATTCTGTTTTAATTTTGTTCTAATTTTGTTTTAATACCTCTGTACAGAACTTTGGTTGCAACTTCTGTTGTTTTGAAATGTGCTTTATAAATTAATAAACTAAACTTATTTTTATTTTAGTATCACTGAGATACTATTATAGTTTCTATTGATATTTTGAATGTTTTTTTTTTAAGTTTAAAGTTTTAGTTTTGTTGCTATGTTTGTCATTTTTAGTAGTTTGTTTTATTTTATATAATGTATTTTTATATAGTTTTTATTCATTTTTAGTTTTAGTTATTTTAGTACATCAAGTTAAAATAATTTAAATAAACTATTAAATCAAAATGAACCAATTAAACTACTAAATTAAAATTAGAAATGTTGCCTTGGCAACTAGCTGAAATATAAAGTTTTATGTATTTTATTTCAGTTAATGTTTATTTTATTTCAAGTAACAATTATTTTTTTAGTTTTAATTATAGTTTTGGTTTTAGTTAACTATAATAACCCTGCATTGTACTAATTCATTCTCTCATTCTCTTAATTAAATCAAAAATAATTATTACTTCATGGCCACAATATATATATTTTTCCACATGTCATGTGTGGGGCTCCGTAAATAACTGCACTGTGTTAAACAAATTGTTATTATTAAGTATAATATTAAATGCATATGGTGAACCTGTGTATGTAGTGGTCTTGTTGATGGATTTCTGAGCTTCTGAGATCGCTTTGAGGATCAGATTTTTGTTGGCTTGTTTGGCTGGTGGGAGGGAAGGCCTGCGAAACAAACAAAACATCAAACTATTTCTGGGAGGAGTAAACAATCAATTATTAATAAGCATATTTAAAAAATATCTTTTCCACCATTTCACAGAGGAACGTACTTGCGCTCAGGTTTCAATGGCAGAGACACTTTGCTGGCAATACCGTAGTCCTCCTCATCTTCATCCTCCTCCTCATTCAGATCATCACTCTCCTGTCCGCGTTCATGACCTCTGTGAACCCGAACCACCGAACTGGCTACAGGAGCCTTTCGTTTCCGGGACAATTCCTGCCAGAAGGGTGACATTCAATGAGGTGATGAGCTACAGCATCAGCGCAGGACTGAACTGATGCTTTCACTGCATCGAAATTCACTCACCCTGCTGCTCTCCGCTGAGCTCCTGTAGCCCCGGCCATGGCTGGAACCGGACCTTTCCTGACCTCTCGTGACGTCTGAGGATCTGTAAGCATCCGCAGTCCGTCTTGAAGACTCCAGCGCTGGCCGTGGCCTGTCCGCAGTTGAGCGGCTGTATAAAGCCCGAGAGGTCAAGCTCTGCTCCAGGGGGTCGTAGGCAATGAGATCATCATCCAGATCGGGCTTGATGTCAATCACAGCTTCTGCCGACGCCTCCATCAGCGGTTTGACAGCAGATGTGAGTCTGGAGGGTCTTTCAGAAGAGCCTCTCCTGCTAGATAAAACAAAAACTGGTGAGCTTGTAATAATCAGTATTTGCGATTAAGTCAAATTCACAGTGATTCGCTGATCCACTCATGGGAATTAAATACCTGGTGTGGTTCTCGTGGGCGGAGCTTGAGACACGCCCCTCCAGCTTATCAGAACGTGAGCTGGAAATGGCGAGAGCACGAGGCTCCGCCCCCCTCCTGTTGTTTTCTGCTGGGATGCTGGTCTCAGAGTGTGGATCGGATGGATGGAGTGATGTGGGCTCTGCAAAACAAATACAAATATTGGTAAACTAACTTAAAGGGGTCATATGATGCTGCTAAAAAGAACATTATTTTGTGTATTTGGTGTAATGAAATGTGTTTATGCGGTTTAAGGTTCAAAAAACACATTATTGTTTCTCCTCTATGCCCCGCCTTTCTGAAACGCGTCGATTTTTACACAGTTAATCGGTCTGAAAAGCGAGGTGTGCTCCGATTGGCCAGCTATCCAGTGCATTGTGATTGGCCGAATTCCTCAAGCGTGTGACGGAAATGTTACGCCCCTCACCATACTGTGATGCCTTGTCCGGGCCAGAGCGACGAGACTAAAACCCATTATAAACGAGGCATTTGTTGCATACAGTGGGGACATAATTACGGATTATAATGACTTATACTGTCTTTTTATGCGTTGCATTGCATCGCACCACGTAAACATAAAACCATGTCTGCATTTGTGATCGGAGAAACGACAAACTACAAACGCTACTTTACACTGCTCAAAAATCGTCAGTGGCAAATTCTTTAAATATAAAAAACGTACTTACAGTCTGTGAGTCAGAACAGCCGGCATTGTAGTCTACTCTACCAGGATCAGGAAACAGTCCTCCATAAAATGTGCTGCACACATCGGAATATTTGGGTTGAACTGTTCTGGAACAGTGTTGTAAATACAACTTAACCACTGATTTCTAGTTGTGTCCTCTTTTGGAAGGCCAAACAAAGTAGTTTTGCTTTCACTACGAAACACAGCGTCACACACGGCGGGCTAGAGTGAGCAGAAGCCGGCTTGCGTGAGTGGCGGCGGGCGGGCTTGCGGCAACCACATGTGACGACTCCGGGCTGGTTTCCGCTTCGCCCACGGAGAAAGCCGATCCGGCGATCCACAGCGCGAAGTTGATGTATTTCCTCAGCGACCAGCACGGATCAGCTCCAGGCATGACGAAGCGGATATCGTCCTCTTTTGGAAGGCCAAACAAAGTAGTTTCGCTTTCACAACGAAACACAGCGCCTTCACGACATGGCGGCGGCGGCAACAACAATACTACAGCGAGAATAAAAGTTATAAGCCTAACTAATAAAAGCCTTCTTTCTTTGCATGAACATTTGGGCGGCGTTATGCAAACCTTCCCACATCGTGACGTAGACATGTGGGGGTGTGTTAGAACGAGCCGTTTTAGGTAGGCGTGGTTGACTCTTAACTTTTATAAAGAATGTCTCTTTGGATTTGAGACTTTAGTCTTTGCAACTTTACAGATCTTCTTTATGCACCAAGAGCTTGTAACACTCCAAAGAGAAAGGAAAAATTTAAATCGCATCATATGACTCCTTTAACGACACTATTTCCGTTTGCCTTGGCAACCAACCAAAATAAGTTTAAGTTCAGACACTAAAAGTAACGGAAAATCTACAAAAACTAAAACTGAAATAAAAATGCATGAAACATACATAAACTAATAAAAATGACTAAAGCACACAACAAAATGACTAAAAATTATAGAAATAAATGCTAATTCAAAATGCTAATATTATGTAAATAAATCTAAAAATAACACCGATACAGACGGAATAACTCAAATTTTCAAGTCAATAGGTCACAATATTAATTCAACGTTTAAATACTAGACTGAGTTATGCTATTATTAATTGTATTATTTAATGCAAAAAAGTTAAAGTAAAACCATGCACTATAGCAGTGGTTCCCAAACTTTTTCTGCCGGGCCCCCCTTTTGTAGAGAAAAATATTTCAACATGATCTCCAATATGAAACATACCAGTTGCAACCGATCGTAGCTTCTCCAGAACACCATGTAACCTACAACACACACAAACAGCATTTACTTCATTATTTTTTACTTCCTCTGCACAAACGTTTTCAACATTGATAACAATAAGAAACATTTCTTAAGCAGCAAATCAGCACATTATAATGATTTCTGAAGGATCATGTGACACTGAAGACTGGAGTAATGATGCTGAAAATTCAGCTTTAATAAATAGGAATAAATTACATTCCAAAACAGATTCAAATACAAAACAGTCATTTTAAATTGTAACTATATTACCGTTTTTCCTGCATTTTCTTTTTTTTTTTATAAATGCAGCATTGGTGAGCAGAAGAGACTCAAAACATCACAATGTAAATAGGGAGACTTTCACCTACCATACAGTGAACTTAATGGTATTGTTGCCTAGAAACAAGGACAGGTCGTCTGCCATCTGCTTTGGGTTCTTCTTATTGGCCACCATGACCATGATGTAATCCGGAAGCTCCTCATCTGACAGAGACACATGGTAACACATTTAATCTGATCTGAACAAGGTCAGTCAACCATCACATTAATGCAGAAATTGTTTAATAGAGATCCTGTTTACCATACAACATCATTTAGACATGCATGAGGACGGAAAAATTTACTTCTGATTTAAATTGACCCAGAATAATGATTACAACTATTTTGTTTAATGTATTCTTATTGTTTAAAAGTAATTGCTGCACTTTTTTTTACTCTACATTGTTACTTTACTTAAAGGGATAGTTCACCCAAAAATGAAAAGTACCCCTTGATTTACTCACCCTCAAGGCATCCTAGGTGTATATGACTTTCTTCTTTCAGACGATTACAATTGGAGTTATGTTAAAAAAATGTCCTGGCTGTTCCAAGCTTTATAATGGCACTGAATGGGTGTTATTTTTCAATAGTCCAAAAAGAAGTCCAATAGAGTGCATCCATCCATCATAAAAAGTGCTCCACAAGGTCTCCTGAAGCGAATCGATGCATTTTTGTAAGAAAAATATCAATTTTTAAACCTTTATAAAACAGTCATCTCTAGCTTCCGCGAACTGTCGTACGCGCGTTCACGAGAGAGTGGTGTTCCAGCAGATGATGTAGGACGCAGGCGTAGCGTAAGCTCCGGTGAGAAGTGATGAACACAGAAAAGCGAGCAAAACAAAACTCCGGTCACGAGTTAGAAGTACAAAACGAGGATTTGTAAAGAAAAATGTCAGAGGATTTCGAGATAAGCCAAGAGGAGCCTGGTTTTCCTTTGCTCGTGAGACTAACATATTCTCACTGGAGCTTACGCTACGCCTGCGTCCTACATCAGCCACTGGAACGCCACTCTCTCATGAACGCGCGTACGACAGTTCGCGGAAGCTAGAGATTATGGTTTATAAAGTTTTTAATATGGATATTTTTCTTACAAAAACGCATCGCTTCACTTTAGAAGGCCTTTATTAACCCCCCGGAGCCGTGTGGAGCACTTTTTATGATGGATGGATGCACTTTATTGGACTTCTTTTGGACTATTGAAAAATAACGCCCATTCAGTGCCATTATAAAGCTTGGAACAGCCAGGACATTTTTTTAACATAACTCCAATTGTAATCGTCTGAAAGAAGAATAACTCCAATTGGATTCGTCTGAAAGAAGAAAGTCATATACACCTAGGATGGCTTGAGGGTGAGTAAATCAAGGGGTACTTTCATTTTTGGGTGAACTACCCCTTTAAATGAATAGTTCACCCGTAAATCCACACAACTCCAGTTCTTCAATCTGGTGGAGCGAAAAGCTATGTTTTGTAAGAAACAAATCCATCAAGACGATTTTAACTTCAAACCGTTGCTACTGGTTATAACAAGTCTTCTGTCCTTAATATTGGTTTCTCCAGCTTTTCAATTCATAAAACAGCTTTTCACAAAATGTTAATTGATGTGCGTGGATTATTGTGATGTTTTTATCAGCTGTTTGGACTCTCATTCTGACGGTACCCATTCACTGCAGAGGATCCATTGCTGAGCAACTGATGTAATGCTAAATTTCTCCAAATCTCTTCCAAACTATTGGCTGGCCTGAGGGGGAGTACATTTCCAGCATATTTTCATTTTTGAGTGACCTATTCCTTTAAATTTATTTTATGCTACTCATTTTGCATGTTAATATGTAGCTTATTCAAGCTATTGTAATTTTACATTTCACAATATCTTATTGTATACAGCTGTGCTGCAAACACTTTGCAATAAAAATATAAAGTTTTTACAAAGTCAGTCAAGATGCAAGAGTGAAAATGTAAAATGTTCATCAGCTGTAAGGGTCACTGTGATCTGATTCTTTAGAAAGTTCGCTAAACTTTCTATTTTGCAGATGACAAGACTTTCCGTTCATTTTTTCCGTAGCACGTGCACTACAAAAACTGATGAAAACACAATGCAGTTGATTAAAAATAAATTATGCATATCTGTTTTGAGCTCTTACCCACATAAGCGCCGAGCTCCTGCAACTTTCCTTTGATAGCAGTCTGAAAAACAAGGAATAAAAACTTTATCTGCACTGATGCATTACTATTTAACATACAAACACTAACTACCACCTTTAACCTTCACAAAACAGTATCGATGATGACAATCACATGGCACTGAAAGCTCATATAACACTGTAACACAATATTTACATGCTAATCCAAACGTCCTTTAAAGAACACTATGGTAGTTAGTGAAGTTCGCTGATATCCAAATACACAACAATAAACAAAACAAACTCTTTACTGTATTAAAAACACCCCAAACACATTTAATGAAACAGAAACGAGCAACAGACGCGCAGCAAACATTCATTAGCGAGCACGCTAAACCGCGCCGAATGCTACGCACTGTAAACGGCTTACCCTTATTTTCTTGCTAATCTCAGTTCCGATCTCCATATTTGTTGGTTTGTTGTTTCCCCTCTGATTCAAGACACTATTTAAATTAACAGGAAATCGAGAAAAGAAGAAAGAAGGACAGTTTGCTATTACCAGGCCTCGCGTGCAGCGTCTCTATTCATACTGCGCATGCGCAGCCAATTCAGGACGACAGCATCATGTTTAATTTTCTTAAAATAATTTTATTAATAAAAACGAATATATAAGTGCTCGAGAGCTACAATAATTTTTAAAAAACATTATTTTAAACTGCTCATTTTTTTATACAAATCAAACTAAATAAAACATTTTTTTTTTATTGACTGATGATAACGATGATGATGATAATGTATCAATAATAAGAATTATATTTATTTGGTATTTAGTATTTTATTTTACTAAATACTTGATCACTGCACATGTGTTTTAAACTAGGTTTTTAAAGATTTCTCCATCTTGGACAACTTATTTGTCAGTGACCCTTAATATGAATTATTTTTGTAGTCTACCTAATTTTTCCATTGTTTATTTAAAAAAAAACGAATTTGTTGATTTTAGTTGCCTATATTTATTTTTCCTTTATTTTCTGTTCTATTGTTTATAATATATCGTTTTGTTTAATGTTAATGTTATTTAATTAATTTACTTTATAATAACCTCCTGAGAACCAGAAAAAAACGTTTTGTGAATTTTGTTGTTGTTTTATATCATTGGTTTGAGCATAAAAAACAAATGGAGAAAAAACATTTTTGAAAAAAATATATTTTATTCATATTTTATTCAAGGTTTTTTGTAGAGGACGCCAGGACTAAGTTATAAAAAAATAATAATGGCATGTATGCATATGCATATGCATGTCTTTAGGTTTCAGGCTATTTTTAGCCAAACTTTGTACAAAGATGATTCTCAACTATGTTATTAAAAAAGATATAACAGAATGATTTGATATAGTCTACTATTGTACTTTATGGAATATGTGCATAAAATGTCCATAAATTGGTATTCCCATTCTATCCAGTGTATCTATACATTGCATCTAATTTGCATATTAATGTGTTCTTGGGGCAAACCATAATGAAAAAAGAAGTGTTATAATGGGAGTAATAACGTGGCAACATTTTCAAAAGAATATCTCATATTTCATAGGAATATTGATCTATAATTTCTTTCCCTGTTGATTTATTGTGTTTCCCCTAAATGCCTGATTAACATGTTTGTCCTGCTGTCCTCTACAGAAGACATTATGAGATATTATAGAAATGATGCCCCGTTTTGTAACAAAAAGTCATATTCCGATTTTTCTTAGATGCTTATTTACGACAAGCAATTTGAAATCTAGCCAGATTTATTACAAAACATTATCATATTTCCCTAAGAGTGCCAAATTTGATAATTCTGTCAGACTGTCAATATCAGAGAGGGAGTCAAACCTCCAAACATTTGATATTTCTAAAAAGCCCAGAATGTGCTCTGTACAGGACATCCAGACTTAAAATTGTGGCATGTACGGTCTCAGAAAAATTCTGTAAAATATAATGTCCTCTACAGAGGACAAAAGTCTATATGCCTGGGTCCCAGGAGGAAATGAAAAACAATTTCACGGATTGACCTCAGCGTCGCTTTGAAAGTTTGTGAACTTTACAATATATTTATTTGATTTTATATATACGTACAAGTGTATGTATGTATGTATGTATATCTTGTATTTTTGTTTTGAAGTTTTATACTTTCCTTCCCCTGGCAATTGTTTTTTGTTTGTTGTAATTTGTCCTTCTATTTTTTTCTTTTCTTATTTTAATGTTGTTTTATTGTGTGTTATTGTTCCTTGAATAAAAACAAATTTAATCAAAATTTAAAAAAGTATTCACGGATTCTGCTTCCGTTCCGCACCGGAAGTGATCCCGCTCATAACTGCAGTAGCGTCCGACGCTTTTTTTTTTCCTTGAAAAAAAAAAAAAAAAAAAAGGATTGACCTCAGCGTCGCTCCTCCAGTCCGCCAGGGTGCGCTAATGCACGCGCGCTCTCTCTCTCTCACACACACACTCATGACATCAGCTGTCAAACGGCGTGAGTTTGATGCGATTCAGATATTTAGTCTTTAATTAAGTAATCGCGAGAGAGAGAGGATGTGTTTATATCTCTAAATCATGAGAATAAAGAGGAACACAGTGACGGAGAATTAAATCCGCCCGAGAGAAACGCAGATGTACTGATAGCGGAGGATTCGGGGTGATTTTACGGGATTTAAACGATGAGCTGGCTCGGCAGGAACGCAGTGATCGGTCTCGGTGTCGGTGTGACGATAAGCACCGGCCTGATCGCATTATTGATCATTAAAGAAGCTCTCAGGAGGAGAAACCGCCGCCTGCTGCACAACACGAGCTCCGGTTTACAGAGCGAAACGGGTCTGAACACAAAAACACATCACATACATCAACAGTTTCACTTCAAATATGATCTGATCTGACACACTAGACACGTGTGTGTGTGTGTGTGTGTGTGTGTGTGTTCAGTAGACTCCGCGGCTCTTACCGCAGCGGTGAGGGATTTGTATCCTGAGCAGCATGTGGAACTGAGGAAGACTCTGGACGAGGTGATGAAGAGCGTGTCCTGTCTGAGGAGTGAGATCGCAGAGCTGCGGGAGGGTCTGAGGGACATCAGCACCACCATCGCTGAAGATGTCAAGTGGGTGAACACTCTT